ATGTGCCCCAAGCACAGCGTGATCCATTCCTTGCAAGCTCTCGATCCCAGCACACCACACAATGCAGCAGGAGCTACTTTTGCACTGGACAAACAGAAGCTGGACATTGCTATCCTGGATGGATAAACTCTATTTATCCTCCACTATAGGGTACTGGATAAGGCCCCTGTGGACCACCTCCATGGGCAGAGGGACCCCCAGGCTCCTTCTCAGACATGCCCCAGCTGCAAGCACTTCACCAGGCTCCGCTGTTCAGTCTCTGTCTTCCTCATTATTGCCTTTTCTCTTAAGCAGACAAAAATAATAACTCATTAAGGAGCAAGCAAGTGGTCAGGCACTGGCACAGCTGCCCAGGGAAGTGATGCAGTCACCATCCCTGGAGGTGTTCAAGAACCACAGGGATGTGATACAGGGATGTGGTCAGTGGGCACAGTGGGGGTTCCAACCTTCCTGATTCTGATCCTTAGCGTCCCAAGTGCAGATAAAGCACCCAAGGGCAGCAGTGAGCCTGCTGCAGAGGCCACATCCTGCCCTGCTCATTCTCCAGGCTGAGCTGCAGCTGCTGTGCACCACGTGCACAACCTTCATGTCAAACTCTCCTGCGCCCTAATAATAAGCAAAACCACTGACACTCGTGTGAAGCACTTTCTGCACGTACAGCATTTTATCAGCTCTACTACAACTGAGCTGCTCCCCTTGCTTTGCTATTTGCCACACAGCCTCCCGGTAAGGTTTTAATAAGTATCACAGTCTCAGCTCCTGCCTGGATATCAAAGGTAGCACGATAAAAGCAAGTTTAAAAGCATCACTTGTGCAATCGGAGGTGGAGGGGGGGGCCTGCAGCACAGCCTGTCTTAGGGGAGAACAGCTCAATGAGGCTGGTGTGGGGGGGCTGCCCTTTCAGAGAGTCGAGAAGAAGTCGGTTGTTATTGGGAAGAAGGAAAAAATAAAGACTCCATTTGCTTGAGAGAAGCTCGCTGAAGAGCTACAGCTGTTGTCAGCGCCACGTTGAAAGGCAGAGGATGCAACTATTGACACGGGACCTGGTTCGGGGCACTGCCTTTACGTGGATTCAGGGGGTACTGCTGAAAAGAGATGCGCACCCGGCTCTCTGCTGCCAAGAACAAAGGCTGTGGTCCTTCAGAAGCCATCCTGCCCATGGGGAGAGGAAAGCAGCAAAACGCCCAGACAGGAAAATGGATTGCACCGACCAGAAACTAACAGTAACGATGCAGACAGCTGGGAGAGGCTTTAATGAAAAATCTATGGTGAGCGGGATTAAGGCAGAACAGAGGAGGGTTCTCCAAATAAATCAGAAACAGAGGACATCTGAAGAGTACAAAAGACCACTGTTGGGTAGGGATGGGCAGCACCGGGGATCACTGCTGAGATCTCCACCAGCTGCAGCTCTCCGATCCCGGAGCAATGCCCACGCTATGCAAAGCTGCTTTGGCCCAAACACAGAGTAGTAAGAGCCAGGAAGTGTTCAGAAATACCTGCAGATGGGGACTTCCTCCCTGTTAGAAGATATCCCCGAGGTCTCAGCCCAAACCCCGCTCTGCATTTCTCCGGACCTGATGCAAAACCATGGAAGAAAGCCCCCCATGGTGCCTGCAGGATGCTCTGCTGCATCAGTGACACCACCCAACCATGCCTCGCTTCTGCAGCATCACTGCAACCTCTTATTCATTGTGCTCGGGAGAGGCTCCATCTCACTCCTGCTGCCTGATTTCCCATCACCTCCTCCCACCTCTTACCACTCCCTGTGCTCCACCAGCCCTTCTGCTGCTGCCCTCCCCTCACTCCCATCCCCAGCCTCCACTCCCAGAAGGAAACCTGCCTTATTCTTTAAGATCTACAGTCTCAACCACATCACTGATTCCAAGCTCTGCACTCAAGGCAGAAACACCCCCTGGCTGCTGCAGCAGCCCATGTCAAGGAAGCACAGCTATGCCCTGCCTGTTGCTCCTGGCACCAAAACCACACTGCAGGGTCTCCTGGCCCATCCTGGCACTCTGCGCCTCTGAGAACAGGGCTGCACCTGGGGACAGCAGGGCTCCCCAGCACCCATCACTCTGGAGCAGCCTGCCTTCACACCTACTGGCTACATTCGTCAACAGTTCAATGCAGGCAAAACTCTCTGCTTCCTACTAATTGCTCTGACAGAGAAATTACAGCTCCTTTGGTGTCATTAGTGCCATCAGAGCTGCTCTGCTATGCAGACTCCCCTCCCATTCACCCCTACAAGCTCTGTTTGGGTTTCCTTGCTCCAGCAACGGCCCAACAGCATCCTCATTTCAAGCTCTTTATGATAAGAGAGGGATTAAGGCAGCTCGTTCTCTCTTACACCACATGAAATCCCAACTCTCCCTGTGTTTGCAACCCCCCCCCAAAGCACCAAAACACCACACACGTGCCTATCAGCCTCCATCCTGTCGTCACAGGGAGAGAAAAAAAAGCTGCCTGGCCTCCCGCCATCCCCGCTCTTACAAAGTGCTGTTAACTGCTGTAATGAACCAATCCCAGAGACATATTAATAACGACACGAAGAGACACATTTACTGTTGATTGTGACTCGCTGGCAGATTTATCGCCGGGTTGCTAGGAGGGAAGGTCTGGCCCTGCAGTAGCGCAATTAAAACCAAATTGAATACAGGGACAAAGAATCAATAATCTATCCGGGCAACTTTTAGTTGTGCAAAATACAAATATAAATTAATTGACCTGAACACGGATGCTAACTGGTCCTTACTGCCTGCTTGGGTGGGGAGTGCCACCAGGACAGTGCCTGCTCTGCAGAGGGAGTCCTGAACCCACATTTGACACTGGGACAGCTCTGACCAATATAAGGTGGTGGTCCCATCCCTGGGGACCAGACAAGTGCTCTGGATGCGACCGTCCCTTGCTTTGCCACTCTGAGCCTTGGAGGTGCACTGCAGGCTGCTCTCCCCACGCTCTCCTCCGCTGCAGCGCACTCCAAGCACCAGCACTTGGCACCAACATCTTCGTGGAATAAAAGGATTTTTGGCCTTGCTTTAATGAGATAAGATAATCGCACGGGGATTTTACGAGGCAAGATATTGGGTGTTAGGTGCTGGAGATTTATTACGAGCCGGAGCATGAAGAGGGGAAAAGAAGAGGAGGAGATGTAATCTCTCTTGCTCTCACGCTCATTTCAGGCTGTTTGCTCATACAGCACACGGAAAAGCCTGTGCTCCATGGGCAGAACCAGCAGCAGCCCTGCATGCTGCACAACCTGACCAGCTCTGATGCCACCAGAACCTCAGGGAAGGAACGTTTGGGGTGGTAGGAGCCAAGAGCAGGCTCTGCTGTGTGTGACCAAAGCCATCCATCCCAAGCCTCTGCAGGGCGAGGGGTGAGGTGGGTGTCATTCCACCAGGCAGAAAGAGCTCGGATGCTTCACAGGTGTTGACTGGATGGATTAGCACTATTAGTGAGCAGACAGGGTAAACAGATTAAACTTTGCAGACGGGTGGCTGGTACGCAAATCGCTAAGGGGGGGAGGAGGGAATGCTCTGATATCTTTCTGCTCCCTTCTTTCCAAGCTACACCCTCCCCTCTCTGCACCACCAGCACCCCAGGACAGCCCAGCACGCTCAGAGCAGAGCCCCACTACAAACTCCTATGGAGATTTGGCAGCAAACAGGCACATAGCAGCCCGTGGAAGCAGCAAGTCGCCCATCTCTCACACCTCGCAGGAGAGCTGACAGGCTGGGTGAGGTTTTCCCTGCTTTGATCGGTGGCCGTATCGAACCCTGCCTCTTCCAAATGAGAAAGATACATAAATATATACATATCCGTGTTGGGGGCTTCTCAGAGACATGTTGAGGCTGAGAAATTTTACAGATTTGCTCATTGCAAAATCAATACCCATCAGCTGTTTGAAATTAAAGGAAAGATTAGGTCCTGGTTTTATACACGCTTTATTGTATTCTGAGAGCTTTCTACTCAGCCAGATAAATCTTCTTTAAGAGGATTAGGAAACTTTCATTATCTTTATCTAACCTGAACTAACACTAACTCTGAAAAATTAATCTACAGACTGGACAAAAGCTGATAGCTGCTGCAAAGGAGCCAGGATCAGAGGCACCATCCACCAGAGCTGGGGAGCCTGGTGGTGACCTCCAGCAAACCAAGATCCCCCTGGAAATATGCCAGCGTGCCTCATAACTGGCTCAGCCCCAGCACTCTATGGGGTCCATCTCACTGGTGGGCTTGAGCTTGGTTCCCACACATCATGCCTCCAAGTGGTCCTTGGTCTGCTTCCATTGGCAATGCTGGCAGGTGGGAAGGTTGGGAAGCAGCATGCATGCTAGGGTGAGATAGGCAAGCTGAGAGGCCAACATCTGACCAAGGCAAAGACATGTTTGGTGCAAGAAAGAACCTCAAACAGCTCACTGCAGCCCATGCTGCTATAGGCACCCTGATCTGCCAGCACCAAGAATCCCCCAGATGATGAGACCTGAGGATGCCAATTTTGAAACCAACATCAGCTGCTATGCCAACACGCTCTCCTATGAAGCCCCACGCCAAAAGACCATTGAAGCCCCCCCACACACCATCTGCCATCTTTCCTACGGCCCTGTGCTCTTTGAATCCATTTCTCTGTTCTCCTTGATTCCCTGTACTCTCTGAATCCATTTCTCCACCACATCTGACAGTTCTTTGCCTTCAGCCTTCCAGAAGCATCTTACAAACAACTCCCCAATGCAGCAAACCGAGCCACACGGTAGGAAAAGGGGGATGCCAGCCTCACTTTCAGTTTCCAGGTCTTCTCCTCCCCGTGCCACAACCACACAACACAGCAAACCATGGGCAACCTGAGTTCCTCTCCTCCCAGACGGAGCAAACACTTGTACAGATCCCTGCCCCATGCCACTGACCACCCAAAATCTCCATCACCAAGAGGGCCTCCAAACCCTCTGGCACTCTTCTTCAACACTCAGCTCAAAGCCAGCACCGTGAACGTTAGGACTGACCTTGCACGATGAGGTGGACGCGCGACGTCTTGGGGTGATTGTCTGTCTGCACAGAGCAGGTGTAGGGCCCCTCATCGTACACATCCACGTTGTGGATCTTGATGCTGTACTGGGTTTTGGTGTTGGAGAGGATGACCACGCGGTTGTCTATGGACCACTTGTCATTGCCAGCATACAGGATGGTGCTGCGGTTCAACCACGCTACCCGCGTCACCCTGTCATCCACGGTACACCTGCGAAAGAAGAGCAGGAAGGTCACCAACCCAGCGCCAACACACACACAGAGCTCCCAAAAGCGGATGGGAGCATCATCACCATCCCCCCACCCCCTACAGCTGCTATGGGCACCGCACGCCCCACACACGCTGCACACCAAGGCAGTGCAACCCTCCCACCACCGCCTGCATCCCCCATCACGGCAAGATTCCTCAGAAGACGGCGCTGCCTATTTTCCTTTCTATTTTTCCCCCATGGCTCTGGGGAGGCGCAGATGAAAATCCCATTAGGTTTGACCTCCACGCGCCACAAAGGCTTCCCGCATCCCCCGCTCGCCCAGGATTGGAGATGAAGCTGTAAAATTTGCTGACAGTTTGGCTTGTCAGCACAGCCCTCGAGCCATCCCAGTGTGATATACACCGCCACGGCGGGGGAGAGCGGCCGGCACACACCGAGAGAGGAAGAAGGGAAAGAGCCAGAGACGGCGAGCCAGCACACAGGAAGAGAAGGGAACATTTGGATAAGCAGCTGTAAATCCTACAAGTGCCTTGAAAACACAACGCAGTCATTGCAGTTATTTATTTCCTGCCTGGCTCCCTCCCTCCACAAGAAGCACGAAGGCTGGGGAGCTCCAGTCCGCGGCGCTGACTTACGCTTGGCACGGAAGAACCGGGGAAAGGGAATAAAAAGAGGAATTAAAATGTTCCCTGAGAACGTGGCTTTTTCATTCCGTTTGATAGATTTTCTCGATCTATTTACTCCTGGCCTTCGCTGCCTCCGCGGTACCCGCAGCCAAACCACGGTGCGTTTGGGTAAATTAAGAGCTGAGCGTTCCTCAGGAGCTTTGCCTTCCCCACCTGAGGACTGCGGTCGGAGAGCTCTCTCAGCATGAAAGCAAACCAAAAAACAACCCCAGGCACAACTCACGCTGGCAGCAACTTAGGGCAAGGCACTGAAGTCAATCAGGCAGCTCTCACGCGTCCCTTCCCACGCGACCATAAATTCAGAGGTGAGCAGGAGGGCTGCCCCATCCCCAGCACGCAAGGGTTGGGTGCTATATGCCTCCCATGCCAGGCTTGCTGAGCATCGCCTCGATGCAGATTATTAATTGAGCAGAGAAATGGGGCAACGCGTGGTGTGCTTTGGGCTCCCCATAGGTCTTTGGTTTGGAGGAGTGAGCAATACATCCTGCAAACAAGTCCCTTTCCCCATGTAGGAGCTGTACATCTGCACTGGACACAGATGCCCAGAAAACCCGATGGCTCTGAGGGCACTCCTGGAGCCCGAGCTTCCTCATGCCACCACTGCCATAGAAATGCACACTGCAGGGCAGGTGTTGTCCTGGTTGTCCCATCACCAGGGAGGTGAGGTGGCCTCGTGCCAAGCGTAGGCATCGCCCTTTATGGGAAAGCAAGTCCTCCATTCAAATTAACTGGGGGAGAGCTAAGCACAGCCTAGTTAAGTTCAGCCCTGGGGGATTCCAGTCTAGTGGACTATTACTGCTGTCTCACTTCATTATAATGAATAATAAAGAGATACTTACACACGGTTTCTGTAAATTATTCATTGCGTGCACTGAAAAATCAGGGCAGTAATATGTAAAACAGACAACTTGCATGTCTGCGCTCATATAAATATCCAGACTAAAGCCCTCCGAGGTACTCCCGGGTCCCCTCATTAGGGGTGAAGTACAAGGAGCAGGGTTTGAAGTGACAGGAAGATGCGCTTGTGCCGTCTCTGGGAATGTTCAAACACCACTCACAGGCTCCAGCTCACTTCAACTGGGGCTGTCTGGGGTGGGCACACGACCCCCGGCAGCCCAGGCTGCTCATTTTGCATCTCCTGCCCGCATCTGGGGCTTGAAGCCAAACCTCTACCAGTCCCATAACACAGACAGATGTGCTCCTGTGGGCCGGAACGAGGACAGCATCACCCTTCCTTACCCACAGCATTTGATGGAAAGGATCTCCATCAAAAAGACTCAGAGTGAACAGGATTGGGAAGCCGTTGTGCTTCAGTAACATGGAGAGCCGACCCACAGAGCCTCCCTGCTTTGGGTGACAGCAAACACCAACACACATCCCAACGCACAGAGCGCCCTGCCAACTTCTTCATCAGGCTCAGAAAGCGATATCCATTAGCAGCTAAGCTGCCAGCACTCCCTCGTCTCTGAGCCGCCTTTGCTACCTATTTCCAATTGACCAGGATTATGATAATGTCTCCAGTAAGCAAACAGGTAAAGAGACTTCTTCAAAGTGTTTAGATAAAGCAGACAAGCTCTGACAAAGCTGGATAATAAAACGGGCCAGGAGGTTTTCCCTTGAAGGGATCTAATTAAGAACAAAGACAAACCCACATTAACAGTCTCCTGGAGGCACCATATCCATCTCCAGAAGAATCGCTCTGTTACGAGTCCAGAAGGGACAAAAGAAAATAAAGCATGTGTCAGGCAGGAGGGAAATAACCCCTTCCTGTCTCCGTGGCTCACCTGGAGACAGCGAGGCAGGGGAACAGCTTTGAATGGAGATGCAGGCATCAGCTCAAACCCGCAGCCTCATCCTAGCTCCCTTCTGCAGCACTTCTTCATGCAACACAACCTATTCCATCCTCTCCATGTCCACCCCGCTCAAACCATCAACTCCCTCGAGCAGAGATCCCTCACTACCTGTAGCACCTCACCATGCCTGCTCTCAATCAACCCATTTTGCTGGGGTGTGAGGGCAGGACCTGGATGCCGTGCATTGCCTGAGCTCCATCCCGCCCTGCACCCCACTGACAGACACAGCTTCAAGAAAGCAACATCTCCCCAGCCCCACATTCGTCCCTTTGCTCTGCAGGGGGATGGCAGCGGCTGTACCAATGCCAACACCCCATGAGAGTCGAGGGCAATGAACCCAAACGTGGCAGAGCGGGAAGATGCATGAGGGAGGGACCTGGGGGCACCGATGCTCTGCTTCTTCCCCTCTAATTGCACCCATTCCTCATCCGTAAATGCTAATTTTGAAGTTTCTCCGAGGAATTATTTCACTTAGTGTCAACAATACGAATAATTCCTCCGACATGGCCTTTGTGTTTGGCAGTGCTGTGTGACCATCTTCCTCCTCCCGCCCCTATTAGCGGGGACCCCCGCGTTGCTCCCATGGCAGGCGCCTGCCCAGCCTCATTAATGACACTGACAGCACTTTCCCTATGCACGGGATGCAAAATAACACCTGCTGCCTTCCTTCCCAGCCTTCCCCTGTGCGCATCTCAGCCCTTCCCTGCAGTGGCAGCGAGGCCAAGGCTGGCATCTGCAAGCTGGGGCTGCCCCACGGTGAGGGAAATAACACACCAGGGGCAGTACGAGTCTTTCCAAGGGATAAATGACATATGAAGAAATAGGGGAGTAAAGCAAGGCTTCCAAACAGGGATCTGCGGGTGCAAAATAACCCAAAGGATGGATATCTCCAGAATGCTGGGGCAGCACAGTCTTTTTGCAGCTGCAAAGCAGGGCTAAGGGAGAGCAGGAGCCTCAGGGGAGATGCTCGTCTGCGCATCGACCCGCAACCCTCTCTCTTCCTCATGCAAACAAACAAATCCATTCTTTTAAATACTTTTACAGCCCTTCAACCCCAAACCATTTTTCACTCCTGTAGGCTACACATCTCTTCCAAATGACAAATGGAGATGCCAAAATCGGTCGCAAAACGTGTCGGCTGACCCAGTTTTCTGAAGCTAAAATATTTGACCCAGATCAGGAGCGAGGGAGAAGCAGCTTGGAGCCATGATGGAGCAGAGGACTTTGACATGAGGACATGGCCACAGCCACGGGCTGAGTGTGCTCCATCTTCCCAGCAGGGTACGGGTGGCTTTGGCACCTGCTGCAGGGACAAGGGATGCCCATACAGTCAGGATACCCCAAATGCAGATGGGTCAGTGAGGATGCTGAAGAGGCACAGCCCCCGCTGGGCTGTTGCACCCCCTCAGTAGTGACAGCATGATATTTCAGCATGGGAAGTTTCCAGCCAAAAGCACCTGTCCAAAGGGCAGAGCGAGCACCCAGTACGAGAAGCCATCGTTAATTATGTTTGCAGGGGATTCCTGCTGGGACTTTTCCCTCTCTTCCAGTACCTGCTTCAGTGACAGAGCTAGCAGGCTCTGAACATGGCTCTGAATGCCTTTTATTCGGGGAGACTGGAGCAAAGGCAGAAGAGATTTATTTGTAATCATTGGAAATAAACACAGCTCTTCAGAAGTAAACACAAAAGAACAGAACCTGGCGGAGCTCCCGCTTCGTTAAATATGCAAATTAGAAACAGGCCAGCAAAGCACGCGGCTCCTCTAATCCTCTCCCAACAACGTAAAGCATCACATTAGCCGTGGTACCAGGGCATCTGCAGTGCGTGCTGGTGGGGATGGGACAGCAGCTCCCCAGGGCAGGGCTGAGCATCAGCACCGTCAGCTCCAAGATTTATTCTGCAGGAGGAGGACGGGAGGCACTTTGTCTTCAGCCCATTCTGCTGGGATTTCATCTGGGCCATCAGCTGTTTTCCCTCCCCCTCCTGTCCTACTGGGGCTGTGCGACTCTACCTTTCCTGATCAGACCCAAGCTCCTGTTTTAGAGTCACCCCAACCCTTCCAGACGCATGAACCTCCAACTCACATCTCTTCTTCTGCCAAGGACACAGCAACAGCAATTTCCATAGCAATGCCAGCGCAGCCTCAGCCGCATCCCCACGGCCCGACTCGACTTACATTTGTTCTGCTCCTTTTCCCACCACCTCCCTTTCCGCCACCAGCTCTCCATTTCTGCACATTTAATTAATTGCCAGGCCCATTGCTACCGCACCGCCGGGGTTCCCCAGGCGACCTCAGCACGGTTCCAACACACCACAGACCACCAGGAAACCAGGAATCCCCTCCCACCCCCTCCCACCCCCCCAGCCCGGTGCCAGGAGGGCTTCTCCCCTCCGCTTCCCCCACAGCACTGCTTCCTCTGCCCCAGCGCCAGAACAGAAGCCGGTCCCCATGAAAAATC